TCAGAAGAGAAGGCTCGTACAGTTCAAAGCGACTGACAGGAACAAAAAATGCATCAGTCGCTTGGTACAAATGGGTGTTACGCTTATTTAAATTATACTGAATGTAGCCGTATAAAGTAACAGAAGATGAGGTCAATTCAACAAATCTAAACCAACCGAACATCACACCTCCACATACGACCTAATAAAAAAAGAGGCAGAGGGACATTAGCATAGGGCTATGGCCAGAAATTATTGACAGCGGAACCGCGCATTGTTCGACACACTGCTCTCCGTACCACGAAGCGAAAACACGCACACATGGGAAGTAACAGTTTGCGTAATTTCCATGACTTTTCCTATATTTCAAAAATGTTGGAATGATTCATAGGAGCAAAGAACATTATAGATGCCAACAAAAAACAAGCCAAAAAATGATCGAAGAAGCGGTCAATCGCAGGACTCCGCATAAAAGAAAGGAAGACAAAACTAAATAGGATATCACTGTCGAAAAATCAACGTATGAGCATTCTTTTCCGAAACAGATTACGCAACTGGAACCTGAAGCCAATAAGGTTCAGCTTTAAAGCACCGCAAAAAAATCCCAGGGTGTGGTTTTATAGGGCGGAAAGCGACTTTTGAGCTGCTCGCAGCGCGAAACTTTTTTCGCTGCCAGGGCCCCAGGTGCACCATTGATCAGAAATGGACCTGGGGTTCCCGAAGCGAAAAATGTTTCGCGCTGCGAAAAGCGGAAAGGTCGTTTTGTGTCCCAGCAAATTCCTAATTCCGTCCTAATTCCCATGATTATTCTTAAGTGAAACGGAAGTGCTTGGAGGATTTTAAGCGTCAATGTGATCAATGAGGTAGTGAGGTCTACAGGAAATTCAGAAAAATGACATCAGGAACGACTGAGTGATATCAGAAACCTATGAGACCGTACACGGCTATTATGGTTACACTGTCTCAGGACTACGAGAATGTTACGCAGTTCTCACCTGCTCCAAGCCTCGTCTCAACGTGCCTCTTCAGCAACCTTTTGATTAGATCACGTGCCTCTACAGATAGGTATGCTGGTAAAGTGAGTCTTCCCTGAAAAAAAAAAACCTTAACGTTTCAGATATTGGACGTTAGAAGAGAAAAAAAAGTAAACTAGAAATGTACTCGCGAAACAAAACAAAAGTTAATTGATCTTTTAAAGAAAGCACCTTAAGAATTTTGTCAATAGTTTTCTTTCTGTTCTCCGCAGTGAACGGAGGTCCTCCAGTCAACATATCGAACATGAGCGCTCCCAAACTCCACCAATCAACTGCTTTCCCATGACCACATCGCATCAAAATCTCCGGTGCCATGTACTCTGCGTTGTAAATGATGAGAGATTAAGTATATAACACTGGGCAAATAATTTCAGTTGGTGCTTTTGCAGAAATTACGCTTTCATTTCCACTATATGCCCCCATCAACGTCGGATTTTCAGAAAAATTCAAAACGAATATGCATCGTCAAATCAAATCAAAAACTTGTAGCCCATGACTGCACGCTAAAACCGGGCCGAATTGGAAAAAAAATGCTTGAATAACAGTTTTTACTGTTCGGAAACTAATGCAAGCTCTTTTGCTGCCTCTCTATTCGAATCAAAACTACAGTAGTAAGCAGTCAAAATGTGTTAGGATGCAGATGCAAGATTTTTTCGAATATCGCTTCGGTGAAGATGAAAAAAGTGAAAGGTACCCCTCTGATTTCGAAGACAATCATTAGACGGCTTTGGTAGAAAGAGGTCCGTTCAGTAGGAGAGCTCAACTCAATAGCTTCCGAGCATTGAAGAAAACTGAGGAGTATAAGAATTTTGGACAAATGAATAGTGTGTGAACATCATCAACGTACATATACATGGCCACTGTCTTACGCGAAAAAAAATGATTTTTTGACCACACTGGGACGTGCGGCGAAAAAAAAATCCTTTGCAACCACAGGAGGCCTTTTGTGCAGTAATTAGACCGCTTCTGGCTTCGCAATATCTTGAAGAGCATTATTTTGACTACGCTGACTGTTGGGTGGTCTTCCACAGAAACAAAGTTCACTGAACTCGGGCGATTCTACTACAGCATCAACTGTCCAGCGCATCGGCGAGATGCAACGGAGGCTGCAATGTGTGCAGTCGGAAAAAAGAGCCAATTCCTCATCGTGACGACGCACAACAATATTTCGCAGCAATGACCCTTGAAAAGTTGCAAAATTGGTCTACAAAACTTTGACCCACACGTCGCACTCAATGAATTTCATTCTCATTGGTCTCATTTTTATCACTACTTCGCGGATAAAAAAGAACCTTCGTGCTCCAGAACAAAGAAAGCAATTCGCGAGCAACCTATTTACTCCAGTGCAAAGCAGATTCCAATGGTTTTTATTCTGATCAATTTCGACGACTTTGGGAAGATACGTGACGCATTGGAGATGCTTGTCGTGAACTTGCATTACTTTTCGAACAAGTAATAAAACTTTGAATGAGCTACTCATCCGTTTCAATTATCTTTGCGATACGAGTTTTAAAACCCGAATGAAGATTATGGAGAAGAAAAAGGGAAACTGCGGCTCGAAACGCATTCAGAGAAAACCCACGGAAAGAGAAGTGAAAAACTTGTAAAACTTAGTGAATGATCAAACCAATAGTTCCGCAGAACGTATGTGTCTTCTGATCGCCTTCAATTGCCTCCTTACAGAGTCCGAAATCCGTGAGCTTCACATGGCCACGTGCATCGAGAAGAATATTTTCCGGCTTGAGATCCCGATAGATGATACCTGGAGATAACACGTGTTCCATTCCGGATATACTAGACAGCATCTTAGATTCCTTTTCAACAAAGATATTCATGAATAACACACTGCCCACGTTAGGGATACGCTGCACTCATCCGACTTATTTTTTTAATCCTTATTTTCTGTGAGAATCTGAGGAGGTTCGCATAGGGGTATTAAAGTTGTAGCCCGTGGGAAATCTACTTCAGAAAAAAACTATTTTAGAAAGAAAATTTCCGAGAATAGTCAAGTGTTGATACTAAAAAGGTAAAGCTACTTATTTCATATATGAAGTGATGGTTGTTTGGATCATCGCTCTAGTATATGGCTTCTTAAATCTTATCATCATCCTAGATTCATCATCATCCCTTCTCCTCTACAAATAGCCAATCGTGATTTGAATATTGAATTGTTTGTATAACTGTACACAGGACATCAAAATCGGATGCGGCTCTGTAGATTGTGATTTTTGCCCTTTCCTGAGCAACAAGCAAACGAAAAGTGTCCACTAAGTACACTTTATTAGAGCCCCTCGCCTAACAGTATCACATATGACCGACCCCAAACGTGGTCTATGGGACAATTGTAAAAACATAAAATTTTCTAGGAAAAAAGAAAAAAATCGGTACCCTGTCTATGCAGATGTTCCAGGCTGACAACTATTTCAGAGAGGTAAAATGCAGCTGTGTCCTCCAGAAACATGCCTAGAAATCATTGAACATATTTACAGATCTTAAAAAGGATAACCACCTGGAAATTATTCTGTACCTTCTCTTTCTAAATGCATAAAAAGTTCTCCTCCACTAAGATATTCTAGAATAAGATATAATTTGCCGCCGGTTTGAAACGCGTAAAGCAGATCACAAATAAATGGGCTCTTGACGGCTTCTAAGATGTTCCTTTCAGCCTAAATTGTAGTGCTGCATAAGATTTTCTCATCATGATCACTGAGCCGTGACTGCAATTGAGGATCAATACGTACCTTAGTATGTGCAGTATCCTTTTGATTTCTTACTATTGTCGCTTTTTGTAAAACTTTCATAGCAAAAATTTTTCCTTTATCTGAACCCGTCGTTTTCTTCACTTGGAATACCTAAATGTAGAAGTACGGTCAAGCATTACGTAAAACAACAGTAAATCACACCCCCAAACAATTGATGCAGCAGGAAACCAAACAGAGTTTTCAAAACTATTCTGCATGGAAGAGCCCACAACCTTAATTGGACACGGATTCTCAAAACGTCCTCTTCATGCAATAACAGTGCAAGGTACGACCTACTGATCCACCTTTCTATTCTGTCAATGAAGATCGATCTTTACTGACATAGCACAGAAATGATTCATGAAGATAGAACCGGCATATTCACGCTCACTAGTAAAAACTCACTTTGCCATATCCACCTTTTCCTAGAACTTTGAGCAATTCAAATCTTTGGCCCAACATCGAAAACACTGCCTTGGTTGACGGCTATACATGACAAATCAATGGCTTCAACCATCGGATCTTGACTGAAATGATAACCCTAGACCTATTTACCAGATAAATCTGAATGGGAAGTGCTAAGAAAACATACATGTATGAGGAACTTGGCGGCGGAGCGGATATTACACCCTGAAACAACAAGAAGTTGACGACTGAAACTGCAGATGGTGTGAAAAGACGCTAACGCTTACAATTATTTACACAGGCTTAGACGTTAAAGCTTTCATCTGTTACTTGATTAATGAAAGAGAATAAATTTCCAAAAAGTTTGGAGAGGAAGATACATAAAATGAAGAATGGCTAGTAAGAAAACCTACATCAGCCACATTACTGTACATTTGATCATCTTCCATTTCTTCTTGCATTACGCCGCCATCACCATATCGATGTGGTTCGTTCCCATCTAATTCAATATCGAATACGCCCGCCATACTGAAATATGACGTGACTGAATCAAATGATGAAAAGGATATTGATGCGATTAATTCCACACACTTACATGAGAGAAATACGAACACAAAAACATTAGAATCCATAAAAAGGCCAAAAATTGGATATTTCAACACAAAAGCAAGGTTTCACTAGGATTTCATAAATCCCACTATCTGATTCACACTGCGAATGCGATGTAGTAGGATCGATTGATAATCGTGCATGACTTGGTGAAAGCGCAAGCGAAATGACAGATAAGAAATGCTGATAACTTGTTCAAACCATCGGTAACTTCGAAGTTTTGAACTTCCCACGAATCTATTATAATAATGAAATGCAGTCCAAACATGTGCACTTACAAACGACGTGCAAAAATTGACTTTTTCAAACCCTTAAAAAACATGGTTTTCACAGTTTTTCACAGTTACTCTGTCGTTGATCAAATGCACCATTTTTTTTTCAGCGCAAAACAGTGATGTCAGAACGTTTGCCACTTGGTGGAAATGAGAATTTGCCGTGGGAAGTGTGAAATGCTAACGTCGTCGTGCAATAAATAGGTATTGAATTTTGCTCGCAAAGAAAAAGAGTACAGCATCGATGCTTGTGGCACAAAGAATACACGAAGTTCAAACAATGGTTTGATACAGACGCTGTTTGAAAATACCGTGAGAAAATATTCATTGGAATATACACATGTATGTTCCTTTCTCCAGCTGGTACTCTGCAAAAAAAAATCAAGAACGAAACACATTCTCTCAAACGACAGCCCCAACTATTCCAGGTGACGTTAATTATAATACCCTGAAACTGAGAACGTATACAATGCATGTCATTCATATAATAACCAGGTGAGCCACAGAAACCACCCAATTCGAAACTGAAGACAATAAAACTCTACGGATATTAACCGCGAGTAACCAAATAGCTGCAAGATCGTTAGTTATGGTTGCCTTCGGCACAAGTTAGACCTCTTGAAAGCACTGGGTCCCTTGAAAATGGGACATGTCACACTTCATGCACGAAGAATTGTTCGACGTAGAAAGGATTTAGAACGTTCATGACACCCCTACACTTGCCTCCTGTATTCATTGAGGAAGAGCGACTCGTTACTCGTGACCGTTCCTGCTTTTCTGCGATGGTTCGAACTCTTACTATGAACTCCTGCTCGAATAAGACTCATTTTGTGAATAACAAAAAACTTTGTCATGATCAGGCAAGACGTCCAAGTAAAGAATATTCTTTAAAAAAAGGCTGCTGTAGGCAACAATTCATCCTGAGAATACTGTTTGGGACTCTAAAATGACTGAACTACTGCTCGCAAATGGAACAAGGCTCAAAAATGGGTGTGCATCGCCAAGCCCCCAAATTTTTTACCAGGCGAGCTTTTTCCTGAGTCACTAGAAGATAAACTCGCCGTACCTCAACAAAGTGGGAAGATTGAAGCTTGCTCTTCAAAATGCACTACATCTGTAAAAAAAACTGAAGAAGTCACTTAACAAAGCATAAGCCAACCCAAGCTTCCCAACAAAGCCTGGGTACCGGCATCGAAAGGCATATAAAGGCAGGGTGAATATCGGTCGAGGATTCCTCAACGGCTTGTCGAGGATTTTCGCCTGATCAGTTACGCTCTCCCGCGCGGACATTCACACTCGCCATGCGCGAGCCGTCTGTGCTCTCCGCGCGACGTTCACTCTCGGCACTACTCTCGCACAGTACAGAGCCATGGTCAACCGACCATTATTCACCCTGCCCGAAGGTGCTAGAGGCTGTAAGTCGTGCTGAAGGAACCATATTGAATGACCTTGTAGCTATCCCGAGTTACAATGCGTTGTAAATATCTGTAGATTTTCGTCGACTTCCAGTTCAAACAGCACTTTGTGCGCTATCATTATTTTGTTGCCATATTTATGGCGCACATGCAGTTCGCCGAAAGACTTTGCCCTTTCAAAACAGTTATAAGAAGTCCACCTTGGAGTAGAAAATCATCTCTGCCTTGTCTTCGAGCGAATGAGCTCTATAATGGCAATGATTGTTTACTGTTTGGAAACCTCTCATGAGGTGAATCACTATATGGTAAAAATTTATTGCCCACAACAAATTTCTCATTGAAAGCTATCAGTATTTGTAAATGTTGGGAAAATGGGGCATTAAGCAGGGTTTACGGATGAAAACGCTCGCTATTCCGCTCCTCCATATGCGCATTTCTTGAAACCTAGCCATTTGCTCACGCACATGCCCTAGAAGAACCATATTTTTATAGATGATCACACACTTCGTTTTCTTAACCCTGAGATTGCCAACACATTTGCCGGCTGTGGATCGCTTGGACAGGAAGAGATTTTAGCTTTTCGTAGCATGTAACTTAACCGCTGCGGGAACCTCAATCCAGTCATAATCAGGGGTGGACCTGGGTTTCCGCCGCAGCAAAAAGTTTCGCATTGCGCAACTCGAAAGGTCGCTTTGTATTCTGGCGACCCAACCCCATTTCTCACTCCTCCATCCAATATAGAAACGGCTTCATCAGTCACATATGAGAGCAATGGTCTCAAAATTAGACCGCAGACGATCTTTTCCGCATACAATCACTAATTTTATTCCCTTAGACTGGATATCGGGCATGGCGACTGCAAACTCGCCCGTCTATTAGCACCGCACTCGCCTCCTAATAAACGTCAGACACTTTTGCCTGGTCTGTTGGTGGTAAATTTCCAGTACTCGTGGTACACCTCAATATCACCAGCCCCTTCTTCTGAGCCATCTAGCAATAAGGATAAAGGATAAAGCATTTGCCGTTGATCAATCCCTTTTTGGGATGCGGCACGCATTCTACTTCCATTTGTACATTCGCAGTGGCGTTTGAATGCGATGTGGCCTATACAATGACTTGCGGGGGCCAGCCGATGTACAAGTCAGTGTTTTTATCCTCCCAGACAAGTCTGGTACCAATTAACCGACCCCGGAGGGATGGAAGGCTTGGTTGGCCCGACCCAGGATTTGATCCCCGGACCGCTCGCGTGGTAAGCGTGCCACTTGCCACTACACCACTTCGCCCATTAGCCATATTATCCGCAATCCTCATTTCCCGCACTCAGGTCGCCCGCTGCCTGAACCGTAGACGATTCTAACATATATCTGTGGGGGTCACAAACTCACTGTTGATGATACCACGTTGTCATTCAGCTCAAAAAAGGTCGAGAAGAAAAGTTTAATAATGTTCAGGCTATGACAAAAAGGTCACTGCCTGTAAAAGTTCGGAAATGGGTGAAGCACTACTTATTAATCTAACAGTATCCAAGACGACTGTGCGAGTGCGCTCCGAAACTGGTCTCAAATGGAATGAAACCAGCTGAGTGCACAATGGCGACAGTTAGCAATTCACAAAAAGAGTAACATTAATTTGAATTAGGCCTTGTCCTTTGTTCCTGTCCTTTGATTCCTCACTACTTCCCCTTTCTTCAAGCAAATCAATGAACTTCAATTGACCTAGAAACAACACAAAGAAGCGTTTTGCTTTTTTGTTTCCGGTATAAATGGGTTTATAGTTAGTAAAAAATATAGGAATAAGAAAGTCTCTTCGTTACTTACTGAAACTTATGTATAAGGATAGACCTGCGATTCGCAGTAGGCCAGTGTCTGACACCTACTTTGGAGAATCTGAGTATACCTAAAAAATGAGAGCTCGCCTTTATCGAGCAGAAGATGCGACTGCACATTGTAAAAGTATGTTCATACAATTCGCAACGAAAAGCGTGCAAGAAGGCTTATGCCACATTAAGAATATCCAAATCAATATTTAAAAATGCTTGAACTTCTATACTCGGGAAAAAGAAACCTCTTAGAACCTCAAACTCAAGAAGGCGTTGTTTTCAACTCCGACTTTCTGACCTGAAGAAACAATAGACTAGAGTCAGCATAGACTAGTCATTATAGACGCGCCCCACTGTATAGTTACGGGCTAAAAACTGCGCCGATTCACACCAGTACCCGGCCTGTCATGCAGTGGCGAGCGCATGTTTCGTCCAGATTAACTTGTACGTCTTCGTTTTGATTATGTTAATGATAAAGCAAGAACGGTGAACATATTGAGCAGTTACAATATGAGACTCAGCTAAGGAAAGCTTAACGGTCTCCCATACATGCTATCAGTCCAGTTGCGCTTACATGAGAAGAACATCAGTTTGGTTGTGCTCCTAGCTCACGACTTCGAGGATTAGGATAGTAGGCGATGGGGTATTGGGGTTATAGGATATTCAGCCGAAAAGATTAGATAGGTTTTGAATGGGATGAAGGAGATTAGTAACTAGCGTCTTCATGTAATCAAACAGCACGGACATATATAATCACAAAAAAGTGATTTCCTAATCTTCTACTATCGTAATCGACCGAACTCGGCGCTGTGCCCCCGGGGGGCGGGGAGGGCAGACTGCGTGAAGGCCACTAGGACTAACCTAATGGAGAGAAAGGATGTCCGGACGGAAAGAACGAGAATTGCTTACGCACCTCGGATTTCCTCTTCTAGTCTGAGGCTTAATCCGAAAACTGAGCACCTTTGAATCTGGCACAACGTTACGCGCTGCCCCCTTTCATTTCATGGAGCTGCATTGCGACGTAAACTCCTAGACTGGTGACAGAGTCCGCGATCAGTCGCGCGATTCGCGCGAATCGCAAGAATCAAGTGCCCCACTTGAGCATTTGAAACAGTGAATGTGAAACAAGTAGAATAATGAACAGTCGTCGGGTCTATTGCTGTTGGGGGGGGGGCATGTGATTTAAAGTGCTCAGCTAGTTTAAAATCACGAACAGCATATTCTCCTAGTATAAAGGTTTAGGACTAACCAGGAAGGTCTTTCAGGG